ACATGTTAATTGGTGTAACGGTTGTTGAATAAACGTAATTTAAATGATTGCCATTTTTTTTGCACACCACTGTATTTAAAAAAAACTACATATTTGTAAAATATCTTTTATTACCATATTGAAGATATTTTAAAGCAGTACATACTTTTTGAATAAAGGATAAGTAACTCTCAATTATAAATGTCTCAAATTTTATCATATAAATCTGAAATTTTTTGAAGTGAATTTAAACTATAATTAAAGCATATATAAAAAAAAATCTTAAAAAATCAAAATATTCAAAAATCAAAAAGCATATGCCAATAAAACTTTCACCTTGTAAATCCATACTTCATTAAGGATCTACAAATCGTCCTATATCAAGATGCAAATCTTTTATTGATATAATAAAATTGCAATAAATTTGTTTTCTAAATAACTTTAATAATAATATTATGTAAGAAATTTTACAAATTGCCTTACTCCTAGAATTAGAAAAATGCCTTTGGAGTTCTTGCTCTCTTAGATAAAAGTTCTATCCAATATGAAATTTGCATTTGTCAAGGAATAATAAACTTTGGTAAATTTGGTGTAATATGGAAGGATTTTCAAATTTTAAAGATATTCACATTGTGAAGATCTCCTAATTTCTTTGAAATTATGGATTTTCAGATGCATTTTTAAATTAAATTCTAAGAGTTACGTCAAACAAAAAAAAAAATAAGATAATCGCAACCGGCAATCAGCATCTCTATTGTAACTATTTTATTATTATTATTATTAATTAATCGTCACAAATAATGTTAGGCGAACTTAAAGATCGAAGCATATTAGGCCATTACTCAAGAATTAAGAGCATGATGAACGATTAAAGTTTAAATGTTTATATAAACAAAGATCACGAAATCCAAGATTTATTTAGTAAAGAAAATATCATATCTTTATTATTTTAGAGTTTTATATGGTTTATTATTGAAGTTACTAAATTAAGACAGCGAAATTAAAAGGTTAGAATTTATACGTTATAAAAATAGGAACGAAAATTCTTTTAAGGGACGTAATATAAAAACAATAAAGTAATACTTTGAGACAGTAAAAGAAATAAAATAACAAAGGAAGTTATATTTTACAATTCATCTTTGTGCGGTGATGGTGATGCTATTCTTTCTTTCATAGTATCATACCCTTCATTCACTCTTTCTTTCATAGTATCATACCCTTCATTCACTTTTTCTTTCATAGTATCATACCCTTCATTCACTCTATCATAACCTTCACTCGCTTTATCGTAAACTTCGGAAGCTTTATTATAAACCGCTTCGGATTCTTGGGCAAGATATTCTTTCGTATCTCTCAATTTATTCTTTAACTTATCAAATAATAACGACATCTTCTCTTCTGTGAGATCACGTGTTTCTTTCACATTTTCAAATTGTTCTTTCATAACATCTGACAATACTTCGGCTTGCTTTTCGGTAAGTCGTTGCGACTTTACAACCTTTTCTTTAATTGTTTCAGTGATCTTGGATATTTGTTGTTCCCCCTTTTCACGGTTTTCTTGAATTCCTTCGTTAATAGATGCAATGATATCATTTAATCGTTCTTCTTGTTCTTCCTTAGTTTGAATTGCTTTTCCAGTAGCAGAATCATAATAATACTTGGCATATCTTTTAAGAATATCTTTTACATGTTGAAGTTGTTCAACCGTAACAGCTTTTCCGTCTTGTAACTTTTGACCAATTTGATCAAGTACACCTTGAATTTTTTCTCGTGTAAGAATTCTATAATCATTAACCGTGGAAAATTGACTTCTTAAGTCTTCAATAACATTTTCAGCCTTTCCACCAATTACTTCAGCTAGTTCTTTACGTAACCTCTCCAAAGTTCCATTGACAGATCGATATGATTCTTTAACTGTGGAACCCAATTTATTGAATATCATTTGGGCTTGATCGGCAGAAGAAACAGCAATTTTACGTTGAGCAAATTGCTCTTGAACTCCTTGAAGCACTAAATTTGCTTCCGATTCTCTTAAATTATTAATTTTTTCTTTAAACCAATCAATAGTCTCTTGTGAGACTTCATTATTATTTTCTAAATCTTTTTGAATCCTTTCGTTAGTTTCTTGAATTAGAGATATAACTGATACATAGGATTGTTTAATTTGTTCAAGTAATTCGACCGAATTTTTTCTATTCTTTAATTTTTCGCTGATCTGGTTAAAGGCATACTTTACTTGATCTTCGCTTAAACTAGCATATACTCTAATATTTTCATATCGATCCGCTAGTTTTTGACGGATAGAATCGGGTGTTTCATTCACTTACGATAACAACAACAAACAAAATCGAATGATTTAATTTATATGAAAAAAAAAAAATAAAATAAAATAAAATCAATTATATATTTTTGATAAATAACTTACTATTATTATTATTGAACAATTCGGTATTATTAGTGAGCAATTCGACATGATTTATTATAAACTTTTCAATAACATCATAAGCACTCTTTGCTTGTTCTTTTTTTTCATTAAAGTGAATCTTGACTAATTCGACTAAATCACGCTTTTCCGGAATTCCCGAATAAGGGATGTCACGTTCATTTAGCCATTCTCTAATTTCTTGCGCTGACCAAGTGCTGGGATCGGATAGTTCTGTACAATTTAAGGAATGAGAAATATCAGAATTCTTTTGTAATTACAAAGAATTCTATTCTATTCTTACAGTAATTTAATATTTACCTGCCGCGTACACAAAGTTAGTAGTTAATAATAAAAAAATTATCGAAAAGATCAGTAATATTTCTTTCCGCATTTTTAACAAATTTTTATGTAAAGTTTATTTAAAAATTTTAATAAAGATTACTTTCGTTAAAATTTAATTCTTTTATAAGTCTGAACTGTTTAAATAAAATTTTTAATCTTAATGACATAATGATTGCAACTTTATAATTCATCATAATTTCGTCAAGTTTTGCCATTTATCAAATGACCATGTTCAACAAATTACTTTCATCATAATTTTATAATTATTTTCATTGATACAATTATTATTACGTCAAATAAGTAAATTAAGTAAATGATTTATGAATATAGTATAGAAATGGTAAGAATAATAATTTAAACGATAATAAATTAATTAACTATTATTGGAAATTAGTTATTCATTAAATTATTCTATAAGAAGAAAAGATTATTAAAAAATGAAAAAATTTAATATTCTAATATTTTAATTAATTAATAAAAATATTTATTAATTATTAAAATTTATTAATTAAAAAAAAATTAGGAAAGTATTGAAAAGTGTAATTAGGATCACAAAAGAAATCACATGCAATTTAAAAGAATTTTTAATAGGGAAGGAAGCCATAGACGACAATGGGGATGGAGTAGAGAATGAATTATTTGAGGAAACTGTTTCTATTAAAATATGTGTACGCGATAAATAAATAAATTGTTAACATTTTATTGAAAAAAAAAAAAGAGAGAAGGGAAATCCAAGAAAAGCATTATATACATTAATATTATTACCTGAAGATACAGAAGACACAAATGATGAAATTTCAGGAAGAAATGATACTGTATCTGTATCTATATACGTGGGAATTGTTAGTTCAGTAGGTTGAATAAATTGAGTTGAACTTTGAGTTAAACTTGAAGATGTTTCTTCTGGAAGTATTGCTTTAGTTAATAAAACCAAATAAAAAGACAAAAAGAATATCCAAACTTGGATTTTAATAAATTTCATTTTGTCAGAGATTTCTTTTAATTAAAAAAAAAAAAAAAAGGGAAAATGAAATTTTACAAATTATTTTATAATGTAAAAATAATATTAATATAGTTTTAATAATTACTATTCATTCGTTAACAATCTCTCTTTCTTTCTTTACGCATCATGCATTTTTTATTTGATCTCTTATGCATGAACTTTTATTCACCTATCAGCTATTAAAATTACTATGAATAAAAATTAAAAGTTGCCATTACTGCTAAAATTATTATTAAATTAAATTTATTACCAATTGAAATTGTAAAAATGTATAAGTAACATAGTAACACAAACAAACTGCAACATGATAATAGTACATCCAAATATAGAATGTGTAATTGTATTCCCAATTTGGTTAACACATGACTAGGATAACACATGACCAATCAAATACGTATTTTAATGATGAAATAATCTTAAATTGGTATGAATCAATACCATTCCATGTTCATCGGCTGTTTTTATGACTGTTTTATCTTGAACTGATCCACCGGGAGCTGCGACATAAGTGACACCAGATTGTTGGGCTCGGTGGATGTTATCTGAAAAAGGAAAGAATGCATCTGAAGAAAATGAAACATTGTTAAGTTTCGCCAGATGTTCTTTCCTTTCCTCTGGTGTTAATGGTTCAGGAATAGAATTGAATTGAGATTCCCAGGATGTACGTTCAAGACCCTATTATTATATTTATATATTAACCTACATATGAAAATTTCGGCTAGACATTGTAATATGTAGTTAAAAAATTTAAATGTTAAAATACCTCGCCAATCTTATCAAGAATATAAAGATCAATAGCATTACTCTTCTCTGGTCTTTTAGTAGACTTCTTAAAATCAAATGAAAGTACTTTGGGATGGTGACGTAACCACCAGTTGTCGACCTTATCACCGGCTAATCGAGTACAATGAATACGTGACTGTTGACCGGCACCTAAACCAATTATCATACCATTTTTAGCGTAGCATACTGAATTGGATTGTGTATACTTAAGAGAAATAGTTGCAACTATTAAGTCAATAATTGCTGACTCGGGTAACTGCAATAAAATAATTTATTATTAACTATTTTAAATAAAATTGATAAACGATAATATAGTTCAATAAAAAATTTCTTTACTCACATTTTTGTTTTGTGTAACTATATTTTCAAAAAACTTCGCGTCTATCTGAGAATTATTACGTTTTTGTTGAAGATATAATCCGTACACTTGACGAGTTTCCAATTCCGGAGGTTCATAAGTTGGATCAATCTACAAGAAAATTAAATTATAAATTATTATGATAATTATAGATTATAATGAATTATTATGAATTATTATTTCATGCTTAATGATAACGCATAATAATGATAATTAAGCTAATTAGAATATTTACCTGAAGGATGGTATATTTCCCATCTTTCTTCCTGCGTAAAATTTCTAATGCTTCGGTTTCATAACCAGGTGCAATCACTCCATCAGATACCTTAAAATATTTAATTTTATTTAATATTTAATTGATAATTTAATTGATAATTTAATTGATAATTTAAGTACCTCGCGTGATATCAATTTAGCAGTAGGAACATCCACAATATCACTTAAAGAAATCCAATCTCCGAATGAAGACATTCTATCCGCCCCTTTTTAAATTGTCACATGTTATCATCATTTTTCAAATATAATTAATTAATATTTCTATTAGTCACCTCGTGCACGTGCATATGCTACCGCCAATGGTGATAATTCTTTAAGATCATCAACAAAATAAACCTTTTTTTCAATATCGGATAATGGAAGACCAACTGATGCACCAGCGGGAGATACATGTTTAAAAGATGCTGCAGCTGGCAGGTTTAATGCAATTTTTAATTCCTAAAATCCCAAATGAAAATATATTAATTTTTTTAAATATAATTGTGTATTACTTATAATATAATTTACCTTAACAAGTGGCCAACCATTAAGCGCATCAAGGAGATTTATATAACCCGGAGATCCAGACAGAACTTTAATTGGTAATTGTCCAGATTTAACAAAAACTTGTGCAGGTTTTTGATGTGGATTAGCTCCATAACGTAAAGTAAGTTGAGAAATATTTTTAGAATATTGTTGTCTGAAATAATTTGAGATAGCATCATCGTAATCAGCAGTGTGATTAAATGCCTAAATATTATATACAGATTATATTTATTTTTTATTATATACAAAATATACTAAATACATTAAATAAAGTAATCACGGATAATCACCTTCAGCGCATTTAAGCGACGCGTCACTTCTGATATTTTTCCATTAGTTTTTAATTCTGTCAAAAAATTGGAATAATCCTTTGGATCCGAAAGAACAGTTACACGATCATGGTTTTTTGCTGCGGCTCTCAGAAGTGTGACTCCACCTTCATCAAAAAGATTTTATTTATGAATATTACAAATTTTAAAATTCTCACACAACGCACGCACACAAGTATCAAAAAATGTTATAAATATTGAATTACCAATGTCAATTTCCTCTACGACTTCCGAAATTGTAATCCCTTCCTTTTCCACTGTCTCTTTAAATGGATAAAGATTACATACAACAAAATCAATTTTGTTTATGTGTTGTGCATTAAGATCTGTTTCATCACTTGCAATATTACGAGCGAGAATCCCTAAATTTCAAAAGTTATAATAACGGTTGGTTTAATTAAATATATAAGTGCATTGAATATATAATCACGTGACTTAATATTCAACTGACCGCCGTGAACTGCAGGGTGTAAAGTTTTGACTCGCCCTCCTAAAATTTCAGGAGCCTTAGTGATATCGGAAACATCCCTGAATAAATGAAAAAAGAATCACCGATCTTTAAAATTAAATAATTATTTTTCTATAATTTTTATCTCTCCTAAAAATAATACATACGAAATAGAAATGCCAGCTTCCCGAATTTTTTTTGCTGTCCCCCCTGAACCAATGAGTTTAATATTTAGTTCGGATAATCCTTTAGCGAGTTCGATTAAATCGGTCTTATCATAAACCGAGAGAATTGCTTTATTATTTCAAAAAACTTTATTAATCAAAAGCTTTGCATAAATCTTTTATATCCATGATAATTAATTTTTACCAATTTTTTGCGTTGTCATTATTAAAAAAAAATATCTATGTATTATTAATTTTTTTTTGAACAAAATTAACCAAAAACCGATTATCAAATTGATTATCTAAATTACACAGTTTCTTTTTTGAAATGTTTAAAATACAAAGATATGATACTGAGCAAGAGTCGAGACAAGAAACCGGAAACGAGCTATTAACAAAAATTAATGAACGTGTCCAACTCAAGAGGAAAAGAACAAAAATAGAACAGACAGTCGAAAAAATCGAAAATTCAAAAAAAAAAGAGCATGAACCCCAAGTTCGAAAGAAAAATAAAAAGAATGAGAAAAATGAACAAAGCATTTCAGTACAAAGAATAAATAACAATGAACAAGATATTAGAGAGATTAAAAATTCTTCCGAAGAATCAGATTCACAACTAATTACGGATAAAAATCCAGAAGAAAATAATGTATTACATGCATTTCCCGAATTTAAAAAATCAGAACAAACACAAGAAGAAATAGCAACTACTAAATTATTAGGAATACCGAATTGGCTGGCTCATCCTATGATCATTGATCCAGAATTCACGCAACCAATAGATCATTTTTCTTTGGGACTTTCAACGCAATTGATTAAACGTTGCAAAACTTTGGGAATTCATGAATGTTTTGCAGGTCTCTACCAGAGTTTTTTTTTTATTATTATTATTAAATAGAAATATAAATTTTTAAATAGAAATATTATTAAATGATATAGTTCAAGCAGCCGTAATTCCAATATTGACGCGTTTGAAGAGTTTGTCAGAAGTCCATACATCACCAGGAGATATTTGTGTGTCAGCTCCAACTGGAAGTGGAAAAACACTTGCCTATGTGTTGCCGATTATTGAAGTATTTAACTATTTATTTAATTTATTTAATTTATTTAATTTAATTTTAATTTTTAATTTAATTTATTTATTTGATTTATTTAATTTAATTTATTTAATTTTTATTTAATTTAATTTATTTAATTTTAATTTATTTAATTTTTATTTAATTTAATTTATTTAATTTTTATTTAATTTAATTTATTTAATACATTAATTTTATTTATCATCGATAGATACTTTCAAATCGTATAGTAACGCGTTTAAGAGCACTTGTTGTTCTTCCGACAAGAGATTTAGTTAACCAAGTTAAGGAAATATTTGAAATTTTTTGCAAAGGTACATCATTGAAGGTTGGGACAGTTACTGGTCAACAAGCTTTTGTACATGAACAAGAACAGTTAGTGGGTAATTTTCAAGTCAAGTAAGTTATCTCTTAATTTAACAAACGAATTAATAAAGAAATTAAATTTAATATTAATAAAGTCTTTCAGGAGGGATAAGCAAAGTTGACATATTAATCGCCACACCTGGTCGATTAATCGAACATATTTCAACGACAAAAAATTTCACATTGCAACATTTACGTTTTCTGGTCATTGACGAAGCCGATCGATTACTTAATCAAAGTTACCAAGATTGGTTGACACACATTTTAAGATCTATTCAACCAGGAAAATCATGTCAAATTAAAAAAGAAAATTTTGGAATAAAATTTGATTCATTTGAGTAAGTTTTCATTATGTTTATTTATTATATTTTTCTGATAAAGAAAGAATAATTTCAATAATTTTAATAATTTAAATTTCAAGTACACCAATATATGATGCTGTTTCATCGATAATGCTGGAAAATTTTATATCTGTTCCAAAAACGGATATTTCTGAACCTAAAACATCGATGGTATTGTTGAATTTTTTATATATTTATATATTTATAAATTTATAAATTTTAATTTATTTAATTTATTTATTTTATTAAATTATTTATTTTATTAAAAATTTATTATTTGATATAGATTCAAAAACTTTTGTTTTCGGCAACTCTGACACGAAATCCTGCCAAGATAGCAAGTCTTCGTTTAGTAAATCCACAATACATTTCTGTACAAATATCTGACACTAATGAAAACGAAGCAAACCAAATAAAATATACATTACCAAGCAGTTTGAAAGTAATTTTTAGAATTATTATTATTATTATTATTATTATTATTATTATTGATTTCTATTATTAATTATTTACATTTATATCTACATTTTATCAAAAATATATATATATATACACATATATAAGGAATTTATGATAGTCACAACCTCCTCCATGAAACCTCTGGTGGTTCTTAATCTTCTTCACAATCTTAATATATCTTCGGCACTTTGTTTTACAAAGTCTGTGGATTCGGCTCATAGACTTTCTAAATTGATTCAATTATTTGAAGAATTATATAAACAACAGAATAATTCACATTCATTAATTGCAGTAGCAGAGTATTCTAGTGATTTATCACTGGAGAAAAGAAAAACTATTCTTAACAAGTTCAAGCGAGGTGAAATTAAATTGTTGGTATTTATAATTAAATATTCATAATTAAGTGCATTCATAATTCAGTGTATTTAATAATTAAGTATAAATGACATATTTACTTACCATTGTTCTTAGACTAATCAGTTCCGATTTGATCGCAAGAGGAATGGACTTGGATCGTGTTGATACTGTAATTAATTATGATGTTCCTGTTTATATGAAAAAATATGTACATCGGGTAGGAAGAACAGCTCGGGCTGGTCGTAAAGGGTATGCATATAGCCTCATAGAATCCCAAGAGGTATTTAAAAGCATATTTAAATTTTATTGCATGATATTTATTATGATATTTATTATATTTATTTATTATGATATTTATTATGAAATTCATTATGATATTTATTGTGATATATTTACTATATGATATTTATTATATGATATATTTATTTATATAGGTCAACTATTTTAAAGATATGTTGATGAAAGCAGGACATTGGAATAAAATTGAAAATATAAAAATAAATTCTACAACATTAGAACCTTTAAAGGAAACATATAAGGTTATTAAAAATATTATTTATTATTTATTGTTATTAAATATTAGAAGAATAATTCTCAAACTGAATATTAAAATTTAATTATTATTATTATTAGGAATCTTTAAATGCACTCAAAGATTACATGACAAATTTAAGGTCATCAGTAGCAAAATATCAAAAAAATGTTTCAGATTCAATGGAGATTATTACCAACTAAGACTAAATTATGATTGTTGGGAAAGATTATTTATTATAGTTATTTATAATTATTTATTATCATTTTAAACACAAAGTTTTTCATCCAATTTATCTTTTAATCCAACTTTTCTCATCATTTCTATTAAATTAATCTCTGCATTATATATTTCATCAGATAATCTATCTAATGGTTTAATATTTTTCCCAATTGATTGTAAATGTAAATTAATAGAATCTCTAATTTCACAAAATTCATCATCTTCCATGAACTAATTATAACAAAATAAATTAAAAAAATAAATGATTAAACAATAGAAATATATTTGTAACATTTAAATATTATTATGGAATTATATAATAATATACATACATTCCATAAACATGAAGAAGGGTCTTTTATTGGCCTAAGATGTTGTTTGATTAATTCATCATCAATTTCAACAAGTTCTTTATATTCCTTTTTTAACAATGGATGTAACTATAATAATAAATAATAATAATAATAATTATAATAATAATAATAATAATAATAATAATAATATTAATAATAATAATAATATTATTAATAATAATAATAATAATAATAATAATAATAATAATAATAATAATGAAAATAGAAAATTCTATTTACTTTGGACTGTTGAAGTTTCTTATTTCTTGATTCAACTGCTTTTCTGTCACTTTTTAATTTCGTCAAAAATTTTTTATCATCTTTCAATAACCTACATAATAAATATTATATATATTATATTATTATATTATAAATATTATTATATTATTAATATTATTATATATACATACGATGATATACATTCAAGTTCTTTTTCCTTTTGATTTATATATTCTAATTCGTAATCAAGTGACTTCTTTAATGCTCGCTAATTAAAAGAAAAAATAAATAAATAATTTATAGTAAGAAGTCATTTATTCAATAATTACTATTATTATTGAAAGAATACATTTTGTGCTTGGATTTTGTCATAATCGACAAAAATTTCGGGTACCGAGATTGTCGACAAACTTTTCTCGATTCTTTAAAACAACATTGATAACATTAATTAATTTTAATTATTTTTAAATTAATTTTAATTAAATTAATCAACTAAAGAAATTAAAGAAATAATATTAAGAATATTAAAGAATTAATAATCGAATTATAATCACCTTGATACCAATTCATCCAATAGGTCTTGTACTTCCGCTTTTTTTCTCTCGCTTCGAATATCATTAAGTACAACTCTGAATATTAAAAAAAAAAAAAAAAAAGAAATGGATAAATTAAATTATTATTTGAAGGAAAAAAAAAATAATTCAAATAAAATTTAATTAACTTACGGTATCGAATTCTTCATGATATCAACAAAATGCTTTCTAATATTTAATGGTTTATCGGTAGTAGTTTGAAAAATATCTAAAAAAACGCGCTATTTTGTTATTCTATTAATTTTGTCTCTAAGATATCTTGAATATTTTCTATACCTTCTTCATCGATATCTTCTAAATCTTCCATTTCATCTTCATGGATATCTTCTATATCTTCTTCTCGAGTATCTTCTACCTCATCCATCTCTTCTTCGTGAATATTTTCCATATGGCTAATCAGAGATTATTTTTTTGATATATTGGATACACGCGACGGAATCTTAACCTAGCATAGTGGACATTCGTTTTATCACCTGTGATAAAATCGATCGTCGATCTTTTTTATATTGTGTAACATTTTATTT